CACTTGAAAGAGGGAATCACTGATTTTCTTCCATTGAAATACACGTAAAACGATCGATTCTTGGTGATAGTTGCTTGCCTCACCTAAACTCGATATTTTCAATGGATTTAAATGGAGGAAAAACATTGTTGCCTACTTGCAAAATCCCTAATGCCACTGCGAAAGACATGCGCAGAAGAATGGAGGCTGAGACTTACTCAAAACATCGAGATGACAGGAACATGAGCTGCGGCCTTGCTCATTCTCGGCCATGCACGTCCACCGGCCATGGTCCTCCAGCGCGATGGGCGAAACCTCCACGCAAAAGAAATTGCCCTCCCGGATCACATTGTATCTTGGATTCGGGGTGATCGGTCGATCGTCGAAAAACCATGTTACCTGTATCAGAAAAAGTCCGGAGGATGTAAATGAATAATTGAAAAAAACTCAAGGAAAAAATCATCGCAGAACTCGGTACAAATGTCAACTCAGTAAGAATGGTCAAATGAGAAATATCATCGATAAGGACCGGTTTGTGGGCTCACATTTAAATCCCGGATCATCTCTACGACTTTTTGCTCATTGAAGACCTAAAATGTTCGGAATGTATAATGATTAGGAGGACATATTTCTACCAAACAGAACTATGTGCAGGTGGGAAAGATGGAGTGTGTTGGTCAGTCGAGAGCCATAAGAATGAATCGGAATTATAAAGCGCCAGTGACGTCGAGTGGCACAACTTCGTGAAAAATAAAATCTTGAAATTTCACATGAAACATTTCATGGAATTTCAGAGATTCATGAAAGATATTGAAAAATACCGGTTTCTTTTCATGTTTCGCAAAGTGTAAAAATTGTGACTTTTTTTCTATTTTTGTGTGTTCGAGTGCGGATCGCATAATTTAGCCCCTGAAGAATATGAAATATTTCACAACCTCGTGAAATTTCATGAAATATTCCACTGAAATTTCCAATCTTTCATTTCCTTCTTACGTTTCATGCTACCCTGGTCAGCGGCGAAGATGAAGCCACGAAACGACTCACCGTGGCATTAACTCATAAACCTTGTCCATAACGCTCTTGACACATGCCCACGATTCATGAGTCCCGCATGCAGTTGGCACATAGTTCCGCTTGCTGAATTGAAAAAGCGGGATTTTACATTCTGTCAAACGGAACTTTGTGCCAACTGTATGCGGGACTCATGAGCCGTGGGCATGTGTCTAAAGCGTTGTGGACAGGGCTCATGAGTTAATGCTTCGGATCGCCGTTCTGCATCTTCATCGTCGTCGCTGACGTCACTGGCGCTTTATAATTCCCACTCATTCTTACAGCCCTCGAGTAACAAGCATACCCCCATCTTTCCTACCTGCACATAGTTCTGTTTGGTAGAAATACGTCCTGGTCATTTTCGGTCTCTACTCATTCCGAGTTTAATACTGGCCTAAACATGGGCCTGAGGGCTGATTTTGACGAAAAATGCGATTTTTGTGCATTTGCAGTCGAATGCCGAAAACTCCCCATTCATTCTCCAAAATTGGCATTCACACCAATGTTTAAGTCAGCAAAAGACCCGAAGAGAGGCCGAAAACGACCAAACCATGATGCATTCCGTATAATATAGACCTTAAATGAGTAAAAAAACCTCAAGTTGAGGAAATTCTGCTAGAATGAGCCCAAAAACGACCTTTGTCGATACCCCTCTTTCGGTCGGTCGACCAAAAATACTTGCAGGGCGATGTGACCGAAAAAAAGTGACTCAAAGTAACCATAAACAAATTTTTCACTGCGTGTATTTCTTTCGAATATCGATACACGATCAAATTTCCGAACCAATTTCACTGCGTGTATTTCTTTCGAATATCGATACACGAACAAATTTCCAAACCAGTTTCCATCAAAGTATCTGGAGTCATCAGTCTTAAACTTGTTACTTCGCTAAATTTCCAAATGAAAACTTGGCAGAAATGTTTCGGCGGCAAGAAATGATAAATGGTGGCGCTCCATTCTGATCAAAATTTGCCAGTCCGTCCAATTTTGATGAAAGAGGACTATTGCATGGTGACTATCAGTCATCAACCGGTCTACTTTAATCGGAATTGGTTCGGAATTTGATCTTGTATCCAGGCCTATGGGCCAGGCTCAGGCTGTCTACCAAAACAGGCTGGCCAAAAATCAGTACTTTTACAGTACTTTTTCAGTACATTCCCATCAAATTCAGTACCTCCTCAAAAGAAAAATTCAGTATTTTCCCAGTACCTCCATTAGACGACATTCGAAAAATTTCGAAAATTTGAAATTCTTGCTTAAATTGCAACAATAATGAAATAAATTAGATCACGCGCCGAGGTGTAAGTGCAAAGCGTGAAGTATTCCTGCGGCCGCTCTGCGTTTGGCGCAATGCGTGAATTTAATCGCGTGTCCCTGTCGGATCTTAACGCGAACGCCCATCTAGAGGAACATAAAACTGAATGAGAAAACGCAAAACCACTCTAATTGCGTTGCTGAAAAAGAAAAATTGAACACACTGCTCCACCTGATCCACTATAGATCAGCTAAAAATCAGCTTAATCTTTGATACGATCCGCAATGCGGGTCTAGTATATTAGCCTTATATTTGGAAACAGGTACCATTCAGGGGTGCAAAATCTCCACGATCCTTCGATTCGCGGATAGCAGGTTTACTAGACGGAAATGGTGTGAACCGTGGTATACAACACGGAGAAGTAACGAATTTTCAACAATTAGAGCACGCGCCGAGGTGTAAGCGCAAAGCGTGAAGTATTCCTGCGGCCGCACTGCGTTTGGCGCAATGCGTGTAGTAATTGTAGTATTCTTGCGGTCTTGTAGGCGCCAATATGCGCCGCGCCGACCGCACTGTATTTGGCGCGATGCATGAAGTATTCCTACGGTATTGTAGGCGCTAATGCATTTCGCGCTGACCGCGCTGTTATTCATACTCGTGAAGTCTACATTCTCGCCTTATTATTACCATGAAGTTTTGTACATTCCCATCAAATTCAGTACCTCCTCAAAAGAAAAATTCGGTATTTTTCCAGTACCTCCATTAGACGACATTCGAAAAATTTCGAAAATTTGAAATTCTCGCTTAAATTGCAACAATAATGAAAAAAAATCCGGACTTTCTCTCGGAATTTCCGCACTTTTTCAGTACTTCCGAACCGCCATTAAAAAATCAGCACTGTTTTCGGACTTTCTGGAAATTCCGGACTTAATTGTAGACACCCTGATCACAGAGCACATAGAGTCGTAATGTAAATGGGAGAGCTGGCGCCATGTTCTGCTCGACGAGTTCCGAGCCCGGTGTGCGCCGAGTTCGGGTCACTTTTTCGATACATGTGCGATCAAAAATGGCGGTGAGGAATACGTGGCGATTCCTATCTTCTTTGTTTACATTGGATGGCGGGGTACCCGTGTATCGCAAACAATCGATTATGTATCGAAAAAGTGACCCGGCGTCACACAGGAGTCTCGGAATACGCGACCTGGAAAATGCTTAAAAGTGGCGCCAGCTCACCCACTTACATTACAACTCTATGTACTCTATGACCCTGATAGACGAAAAATGTGTAATTCTTCTCACCTTAATTTGAGTGGGGCTGGTGATTTCAGCCAGGAATCGGGTCCTGGTGCCGATTTTGGCGGCGAGATCGGAGAGGCGTCTGAGGAAGACGGGAGCGGCGGGGTGTTGCGGCTTGACCGAAAGCTCGAAGCTCCCATTGGCCTCCCCGAAGGGATTCGTGGCGGCGAAGCTGTAGACGCCGCTGTCATCCTGTCTGGCTTTCTGGATCGTCAGCGAGCGCGCCTTCGACGCGTGTCGCATCCGAAACCGCTCCCCGATCAGCCGAACATCCCCTCGTGTCCTGCACAAAACAAGCAAACTCGATGTTAGTGAATTAATTCTTCACAGGCAGGAGCAAAGAATTAAAGGCATTCGTTCAAAATTTACAGTCATACCGATAGGCCTTGTCTTCACAGGACATTTTCATAGGATTTGTCCCAAGTTCGAATCGCAGGAATGAAACTTCTGGGATTTTTCCCAGTTACCGTCTCCATACGGACGAGGCTCATACGGTCCTGCGACTAGTTTGCGCGGGAAGATAAATTAGATAAAGTCGAGTATTTAACCGAGATTAAAATAATAATTGCACTCAATTGACAATTAGACACATTATTTTCACTAAACAAACATGAACAATGGAGTATTCAACAAAATATCGCACAATTTGTTTACACTTCTTCTTTCTCTCTCAGTGGGTCCCAGGAGTAAAAGGACCATACTTGGTACTGGGAAAAATATTGATTAACTCAATATTTTTCCCAACTTCGTAAGTGGGATTTTTTCCTAGGACAAATCTCGTGAAAAGGCCCGTTGAGACAAGGCCTAACATCTCACGGTGTGAAGTTCTGTTATTTTCGGTGTCGGTGGGTCAAAATCTCGTTTCCCTCGGCCCTCCCCCTTGTCCAAATTTTGGCGTGACCCAAAATCACTTGATGTGCACAAGACGACCATGCATCGTAACCTTCCGGCAAAAGTATCACATACGCCATGCGACGTTTCAAAATTGCCGCCGCCATTTTATCTTTTTAAAGAGGAATTGTTAGTTAAATCTGCTCAAAAATTTCACTGACTTTTCTTGGTGCTGCTGATAAAATTCAGGGAAATTTTCAAACAGATGAAACCAACAATTTCTCTGTAAAAAGATAAAATGGCGGCGGAAATTTTGAATCGCCACATGGCGCTTGTGAAACTTTGGCCGGAGGGGAACGATTTATGCACGTTAAGTGATTTTCCGCCGCCATTTTATCTTTTTACAGAGAAATTGTTGGTTAGATCTGTTTGAAAGTTTCGCCGAAAATTGTCGGTAGCACAAAGAAAATTCAGTGAAATCTCCAAACAGTTTCGTTGAAAAATTTTCCGGTGAAAAAATAAAATGGCGCTGGAAGTTTTTAAACGTCTCATTACGCTTGCGATACTTTGGCCGGAAAGGTGACGCAATAAGGTCCTCCAATCCTCCGTGTTCATCTTGAATGAAATCGAACATATCGATTCTCAGATATGACATGTGCAGAAATCAGGGACGCCGACCGGACGGACGGACACACATTTTTTTCAAGTATGTTTTTTTTCTTTTAAAGATTACAGAACAGCAAAAAATGATAACATTTGTCCAAACACCAAATTTCCACGCTCAAAATTAACAGAGCATATCGTCCTTAAAAAAATCGCCTTGGAGCATATCACGGTTTCTGCCAGCCTGGTTTCATCCGCATTTTAAGAGCCCCGTAAAATCAACATTTTCATTTCAACCAACAATAGGGGGATGCCTCGCGAAAAAAAGAGAAACCTGTCAAAAGCTCGCTCTTCCTGACGGTCAAACCAATTGGTGCAAATGACTTAGAAAAAGCTGTCGCCAAGACCAACCACAGAGAATACATTCGAAACCCAAACATCAGTCCTATTATAACGTCATGATGAATCGAAAATCCCACGGTTTTGACGATGGTGTTGGCACTGAGCCAACGTCAGGCCGATGCATCACATTATGTGCGGTTTGATAAGATACGACAGAAATGTTTCCGTGCTAAGGTAAAACGACGTATGAGCCTCTAGACGCTGCCAGATCTCCTTCAATGGAAAACAAATTTATGTATAAAATCGTGAGTATTTTTTTTTTAAATTTTCAGACAATTTTGTTCAATATTTAATCTAAAATATCTGTAAATTTAATGGAAAAATAAACGAAACTTTCTTTAAAAATACATGTTTTATCCGGTGAAATTTGGCAACTCTCGAATGTTTATGAGACGTTTTTCCTGAGCACGGCAGAATGGAGCGGGACAATAGAAATTATGGTAGCAGTAAGTTTCGGAGTTCACTGGCCCCTATAGAGAGACAAAGCTAAGTCAACGCCATTTAAATTAATACTTTTAAAAAGGGCGAAAGTCCAATTTTCAAACTTTTTTGCGTACATTTTTGACGCTCTTTTTACGTGACATTCGCGTTCCTGTGCGTCTGTGACCCACGTTCTAAAAAACGGACTACCGCTGCTTTCTTAGAAAATATGGTAAAGACAACCGGAGAAGATCGATGATATGTTATAGTGATTGGTCGATGTGTCAGAAATTTCCTGACTTTTCCAGTCGCCGCAAATTCCCAGACCTCCCTCCATTTTCCCAGTTTCTCACAACGGCGGCAACCCTGCGAATGATTATTGAGAGTTTCACGAGAAACGGAATTCGTTCAATTAAACAGTCCACTCCGACGCTACTATAAGTCTCTCTTTTCAAAACTTCATTTTTACACATACTGCTCCACGCATACGTCGCTCCTCTGACGTAAGGGCGCGCGTACCTCCATTTCCATGTGAGCCTTGTTCTCTGTACCTATAGCTCTTTGCTTTCCGAGGCTCATTTGAAAATTGAGATACGCCTTTACTCAAAGAAAACAACTTGTAAATCCACCTTCAAGTCCTGCTCTGCCTTGGTAGCAAAGATAGCAGTAAGTGCAAAAATGAGGTTTTGAGAAAACGGGCTCAGAAGCGTCTGACCGAAAAATTGTATCGAAAGAAGCTTCCGTTATCTTTGTCAAATTGCCACTAATCGTCCGAAAGATTCCTTAAAATCGTTTGGATGATTCGACTGATTTTATCTCAATTACATAAAAAGGGTATTTTTTATTTTCATGCTTGGTTTTTGTTAGGCAAGACGACCGTAAGTGCTATCTTCTGCATGCTTTCGCGGTGGCGTTTTGGACACACAACAAACACATTTTCAGGTCAGATATTGGCAGATGAAGGCGGCACTTTGCTTGAAAGCACTGTTTTCATTGGCTCTCTGGAGGAATATTGTCACTTACTGCTGTCTTGTCTGAAACCACGTCATTTTTTGCGCTCTTACGGTTTTTTCAAGTGTCTCATATTTTGATGTTTTAGCTATTTCAGTGATTTCATCTAAAAAGATTAGACGAATTTTGAAGGGAACTCGATTTCGAAAATTTGACACTAAGTACTGCTCTCCTCGCTATCACGGCAATGCTCGTCACATGCTTCTGACAAGAGGGCGCTGCCCTATCGTAGCTGCTTCCACTTAGGGATCCGAGTCAGTGGCGTGGCGTGCTTTGCGATATATCGATTGTTATGCAATTTAAACCTATGGTAAATAATCGATTATTAAGGTGTTCGCTGCGAACACCCTGTTTATCGATCCTTTTCCATAGGTTTAAATGGCATAACAATCGATATATCGCAAAGCACACCACGCTACTGATCCGAGTGCATTCACAGTGACGCGAGATGCACGCATCGCGGCACGAGGAAACCCTCCAGCCACGCGGCATTTCATGGAATCGTTCCAGAAAAGCGTGGTGGACAGTCTGCCCGTCCAGCTGGCGTGGCGGGACATCTCACACGATGAACACGTCTGCCAAATCCAGCCGGGCCTCTCGTCGGAACATCGTTGGTGAATCCGAGTTGACAGTTGAGAAACAATGTATCAGATTTAAAGCCTCCTGAGTTCTCGTGATTCATTAGATTCATTAGATTCATATTGTTGGAGTGTTTTGAGTAAACAATCATTTACCACTTTTCTCACTCGATTCGAGGCCGTGTGAGGTAGAGCGTAAAAGTCATCCCTCCTAAAAACGACCGTGCTCGTGAGTGAAGCATGGTGCCATGTTGAAGTTAGAATGCGGTAAGAATAACATGGTACTCTCAGAGTTAAAATGCCCAACAGTGACCAACATGGCACGACTTTCAGACCAAGTTGGTACCACATGTCGATACCATGATGGCGTTAACATGGTTCCTGTATGGTAACAAAATGGTACCGGGTACCACTGGTACCCGGTACCAGGTTGACACTCTATTGCTGACATATTGTTCATATCATGATCTCAATATGGGATCGGCATCATCGTTTTTAGCAGGGTTCTTCCCGTGACTTGAACACTATAATATGGATCGTGTTTAGCGAAAAAGAACTAGCGCAATCATAGTGTTGTTAAAATGTTACTTCTTCATAATTATCTAGAAAATCTCACACAATTTTAAATATTTTTTGCATCCCACCAAAAAATTGTTAATTTTGAAGGGAAATAATTGTGTAAATTTTATTACTGTTTTTAAATTTAGTATTTTTAGAGGAAGAAAAGAAGTTGCACAATTTTGAAAACAGTGTAATCACGCTGGTTCCTTTTTGCTAAATGCGATCCATATTCTGTGAGGCATACAGTCAGCTTTTAATTTTTCAGGAACCTTTAGAGGTATTGTAATCAGTAATTTACGACGTTTTGTAGTTGACGGCTAAATGTTTTCATTTTCATATGAGCCCTAGAAAGCATGGTATTATAGGGGCTAGAGGACTCATCTCAGAATGGATTTACGCCCTGAAGTCAAAAGAGCGACGATTAAAAAAGCTATCAGCCCAGCCCTGTCTGCCTGGCGCGTCTTTTTCTGTAAGTGCTCGACCTGAGGGAGTCCTGCTGTCTCAACCGACTTGCAGAGGTCAAATACCCCATTCGTCTCTCAACGTTCTGAAAAGTCTAGCCTTGCGCGCCTTGCCAAACTGTCATGTCCGAGAGTCCTTGGTTGGAAACTTGATAAGAAGCTTCAAAAGCTTGATTACTTTGACAGGCCCAAGAGCCACAACATGCTGAGCTACATTTTTTTCTGCCGTCAAAATTTTGCGACAACAATTCCGATCGCGACCACTCGAACCATGTGATGGATGCACTAAAACCAAAAGGAACCATTTCCAACGTGACATGAGCCGAGTAGTGCATGTATTCTTATAGATCTCAGGGCTCATGTCAGAATGGATATAGTTTCTTTTGATTAAAAGGCATCCTAATGTTCTTATCAGT